AACTATTTATTTCCCCGCCTTCCCTCTATATCCGAACTATTTATTTCTCCGCCTTCCCTCTATATCCAAACTATTTATTTCCCCGCCTTCTCTCTATATCCCAACTATTGATTTAAGACCCAGTGGTCTGTATTTTCCCGTATTATGCCATGGTTTTACAATCCAGTTTGCTGGGACCTGACCCAGTCTCACATAGACTCATATAGACTGTGACACCCTGGTTCTCGATTTCCCACCGCCCCCGCCCCAGTTCATGGCGGAACGTCCTTCCAGCACTGACCCTGTTAGAATTCTATACGTGTCTACCCCTTACCCAGGCTCTAACCCCCTCATCCTTCTAAACTCCAGGAACACACAAACTAAAATCCTCACCATCCCCTTTCGACTCCTCTTCACACTGTTTTAGTCCCGAGAGGGAGAAAGAGAGGGAGGGACGGGGATGGGGGTGGATGAGAGTGTGAAATGTGAGCACAGAGGACAAAGAGACGATACACCAGAGGTAACAGTGACAGGGCAGGCAGAGAGCGAGCGAAGGGTCCGGCCAGTCTACTCCTGCTCGGTGTTCACAGGGTTCGGGGGAACTGTCCGGGCATGGAACTGGCTGGGAACTGCCAGAGGGCACACCCAGGAGATGATCCCGGTGGAAGCGACTCCAGTGTGGGTGTGAAGCCAGGAGGAAGTGCAGTGGGCTGGAGGCACCGTTAATGAGGCAGATGAGAAAAGGCAGGGAGCTCCCCTGAGTTAGAGTTGGGTTGGGAGAGTGGGATGGTGGGGGTGCTAATGTCGGGGTTTTGTGGTTGGCAGGGCGGCACTGATTGTAGACGTGCTTCCCCCTCACCCGCTGCAGGTTCATCGGGCACGGAATTAGACACTGCTACAGGATAGACCAGGGGAAAAAGTCCGAGTTCTATCTCACCTACCTGCTAACGGCTGGCACAGGGGCGTTGGCGATCCTGGCACTCTGTCTCACCGTTGACAGATTTGGTCGGAGGGGCATCCTCCTCCTGGCCATGACACTGACCGGGCTGGCATCCCTCATCCTGCTGGGACTCACCGAGTGTAAGTAACTCCGACAGTGCCCGCTCCCTCGGCGCTGACCCTCCGACAGTGCCCG